TGCGCAAGCAGGAAGCAAAAGGGGGCAAGTCCTCGACCGTGGGCAATTTAAATAGCCCAAGCCATGCCCCCAGACCGACCGCATTGTTCAGTCTAAGGGATGATGTGGTCGAGGACTCCAATGGCGCCGGGGCTATCCCCTCCTTGTGCCCAGCATGCAACGTCATCTCCCCGGGAACAGGAAATGGTTTTATCTGAGTTTGCATACTTGAGGGAGAAGTAAAAACTTATACTCTTGACAAAATAAAATAGAATTGACTGTTACTGTTATCTTTTTCACTTGGAGAAAGCAATCAATAATAATAATAATAATAATAATAATAAATAATACCCTGCCCATCTGACTGGGTTTCCCTAACCACAAAAAAGTCTATTACAGTTTCTGTTTTCCTATCAGTTTGCAAAATTCTGCAGACTTCTGAGGGGAGGAAAAGGCCCTTGTGTTCCCCTGCTGAGAGGCAGCTCCTGGAAGTGACAGGAGCAAAGCCTCCAGATACAGCCAAGCAGGCTCACTGTTAATCACCCCTTAATGCCTGGCTCTGATTCATGTGATCCTAACAAGCATTTGAATGGTCCCTTGGGCTGATCTGCATGTTCATCCTCTGCCGGGGGAGGAACACTGCCCTTTCTCTGCCACATTGTTGAATTCCTGTCAGGATGTAAACTAAGGGCTTATTTAGAGATATATGGGATTTACCCAGCAGTCTCGGGATGCCAGAGGGACTGCGCCAGCCTATTGGCTGGAAATGAAGGCGTATTTACCGAGCACGTATAGAGGGCCAACTGCAGATCCTGTTGAAGTCCATGGCACAATTCCCACTGCCTTTAATTGGATTTAGATCAAGTTCTTGGCGTCCTCCCATATTAAAGCTGATCTCTAAATGCTTTTTCTTAATGAACAGAATTTATTCAGAAGCTCTTCTCAAGGTTTAAGATTACCAGCAAACAACCTTCCAAGTAAACGGAATGGTTTATTCAAAAGAAGAAAATATTCTCTTTCATCTTCCATTCAGTATGTGAGTTGGTTTGCAACATTACTCATCCTGATTCTCTTGAGTGATTCTTGGGCCTGAATGGAGAAAATGTGTGGTTTCAGGGGGCCAAAATCATAGATAATACAATGAAACTGTTGCTGGACTTCAGAGTTTGAATGCTGATATAGTACAAAGTACAAAGTATATAGTATATAGTACAAAGAAAGTTGGCTAAGTGTAGATAACACCTGATATGAAGGGAGACCTAAGCTAGATGTCTCCCTGATAGCTACACTTCTATGTGCAGGGAATTGTGGGTATGCAGTTGTCCCTGCACTCAGAATTAGTCTTCCACATGTTCTGCTGTTAGTGTAGACTCATTCTCAAACAACAACACCAACTCCCAACAACTGCTTTCCCAAAGACCTGTACTGAAGCTGGTGTCTCTCCCTTCAAATCCTTCTTTAAACCAATTTTCCCCATGAATCCACATACCTGAGTCTTTATTCACAATAAATTCCACACATATGCAACTGTATTCACTCAGTGATAGTGATGGTGCTTATTAATAGACATTATTGTGTTCTAGCTCCAAGTCTTCTCAGCCAGCCAAGTTCCCACAACAGTTCTGTGTGTGTATCCAGCTGCAAAAATGACTTAGGATTTGAAAAGCCATTGCATTGAAGAGTACTTTCTATTTGTCATCCTGTTCCATCGGTGTCAGGTATTTGCCCATTCTTTTTTTCTTTTTTCATGATCAGTTGATGGTATTATGTGATCGAGTGATCAGTACAATCATCATACAAATGCATGTACTAATGTGGGTAACATTGTTTCTACTCTTAGATGCTGTCAAGTGAAAACATGGAAGAAATCACCTGAGTACACACTGCCATAAATACATCATATGACTTTGTTCTACCAACATTAATTGTCACCATGTGTTTGATTTTTTTGTGCCTGTGTGTGCTCACATATAATAGACAACCAAACAATGATCAAATTTTAATATTTTTCTCCTGGCTTATTGATGTTCCTCAGCATATGGTACCAGGGCCTCAAAGTATTCCACTTCTGAGTGTAAGGGACAATCAAATGAACATGATATGTAGAAGGAAAACAATTTAATAACAGGTTGCCAAGAATCAGATAATAATTCATGTCAGATAACAAAAGCATCCTTTAGTCAGTAGTGTGGCATTAGCCCCAATATTGTTTCAGAAGCCTGGCAGCTGTAGAAAGGTAATAAAGAGGGTGGAAAACCTAACAAAAATAGTAATTTGAAGGCTCTGCTCACGCAAAATATGTGTATGAATTTAAAGAGAAGCTAAAAGGATTTCTGTTGTGATAGGGGGCAGGTGAGTGGTACGTAATGTGTCTCTAAATTGCCACCAATTTTATACCTGAAATGGACCAGGTGAGACATCTGTAGAAATTTCTAGAAAGTTAACCTAATATTTATAAGGTTCATGAAAATTCTGACAGGGAGCGGAAATGTTTCACACCTCCCTACCACGCAGTTCGACTATGGATAAAGTGACCCATAATTTGTTGGGAGGAGGGATTTAGAAATGGATGAATGGAGCACCATCTCTGATTTCCTCCTCACCAACACTCACAGGTTGCCTGCAGTAACGCCTCCAGGCACATCAAAAGAGAGGCAGGCAGAACGTTCAAATGGAAAAAGAAGATTGGGAACGAAGGGAGGACTGAGAAGGCAGGCAAGTCCACAGTACCCATTACTGCCCTTTGACACCCACAATGTTCTGGCAAAGCCAAACAGGCCCAGTTCATCCTGGTCAGCAACTTCTGCCTGTTACATCTTTTTAAATATTGCCTTCTCCTATAGCCTGAGCCATTGCCATCATTTTCTTTAGCTGCCACACTTAAGGTCAAGATTTCTCCCCTTCCTGCTTGTTTCCTCTGGCTGTGCCACAGTGATTCCCCTCCCCCTTTCCTTTAATAAGGAAAATCTTAAGAAGGCATCAGGCCAAGAACTCCCACAAGACAATCAGGAATTCAGAACATTTATTGCAAGAGCTGAATAACTGTAAATAACGTTGAACTGGCAAAGCAGTAACAAGGATAACTGTTTAGATATTTATTCGGTCAAAGTCATCAAACACCCCTCACAAACTGACATAAGTACTGCAATAAGCAATGCACCCCTAACCCATTTTATGCTTGTATATTGTGGAGGAAAGAAAATGTGAACTGCTATATACAAAATAACTTCGGTTAGTTTTGGTAAGAACAAATTAACCATCAATATTAGCTACCTTTATTTTTCTGTGTGTTTATTTTAAGACTGATGTTTAACTGTGGAATAAGATAATTTTTTCTTTTGTACTTTAAGGACTCCCCCCCACCCATGTTGCATGCTATTTGTTTAAATTGTCTGTCATGCCTTAAGAAAAAAACGCCTAAGAATGTTCAGATTAGGATTTATTAGACGTGCAACTGAGATCTTATTAACATTAGGAGTCACTTTGCTGGTTTGATTCAAGTGACACAACACTGGTACCTGCCAGGCATTGACCAACTATGGTAACAAACAGTTAAACAGCAAGAATTAGAGATTGAACCCTTTCATTTCCCCCAACTAGCCTACCAGGAGAATGCTTGGTTACATCATGAAGGCACGACACATTAAATATTTTGTGGCTATGATCTAAAAACACTTGTGTTACTACAACATCAATGCAGATGAAGATCAACACAACCGCTGCCATTTGAGCAATACAAACTGTCTTAGGTATAGACACACACAGCCCAATCGTTTTAAAAAGCAATTGTTAGATATGGATTTACTGGGTACAAAATAACTCAAGAAATGTTCCCGCACAAGCTCCATTGATATGAATGGGCACTTAGGGATCTCCCATTCAGTTCGATGGGGCTTGTATATTGGAACCACTCAGCAGATTGTTCCCCTTACCCTCCACCTAATTTTGACTAGTATCACTCTCTAGCATGATTGCAGCCCATAATGTCCATTCAGCTGCTGTCATGGTTTGTGTTCTCTTTTTCTCCCCTTTGCTTTGCAAATCAGAAAAACAAAAAAAATAATAGTGGCTAAAATCTCAAAGCCCTTACTTCAAGTGTTATTTCAGAATTGGCAATAATTTTATTGGCAATTTTTTGTCATATTAATAGTAAAATAAAATATTTCCCTCCCCTCCCTCTTTTCCTCAGTTTTTAACACAAGTGTTTTGAGCTCCTTGGAACATTGTGTGTCAGACAGACTACCAACACAGAAACACCATCACCAAAAGAAACAAAATAATAATAAAAAACAACAGGAAGCAAATGAAATAAAGTAGAAAAAAGCAACTGTGAAACACAGAATTATGCTACAGTATTTTTTTAGGTGACCGTTATAAGTACACAAAAGTTATTAATAATAATTGATTCTATTTACAAGTACTTGAACACTGATTGACTTAACAAGTGTCCACTAACGTTGTTAATAGCACAGTAGGTTTAATGTTTGCAATTTTAGTTGTTTTGTTTCAGTAAAGATGTCAAGTATAGCAGTCCCAGCACAAGATCAATGGTAACAATAACACAATTTCCTAATTGGATATGCTTTCTAAGAATTGCAATCCACCGTCTCTCTCTCACACATTCTCTCTTTCTTTTTCGCTCTCTCCATGTGAATCTTCTACTATTTGCAGCAGCAAGTCCAGGGTCAAAAAAACAAAGGAACATAAACAAACCCCCACCCGTTATCCCAAGCAAATTGAAAAAATTAAGATATTTTGCAAACTGGAGAGATTCTCTGTAAGAGTTTGATTATTTCTATTTAACAAAACCACACAACTAGTAGAAATGCTCTTTTGTGTTGCAGTTCCATGGAGCTACCACAAAGTTATGCATATCTCTGCTATGTGACGCATAGTTCTAGAGGTCTACTCAGTACATAAAGCTCTGACACACACACACGCACACACACACACACACACACACACACACAGTATTAGCAAGTCTAACTAGGCTAAAGTCACTGTTCCAAAGAAGCCTTTCCTTATAGCTGGTTCTCCTTCGGACTCTCCACTGGTCCTGATGCTTGTTTATAGGATTTCAAGTTAGCCAAAGGAATGTCAGCCATGGGATTGCCAGGGTTGAAATGGCCTTCCCCCGAGCCAAACTGCTTTCGGTCACTGAACTGGTTTCTGTTGCTGTCTTCTTTCCAGGTTCTGGTCAACGTGTGGCCATTCACCAGTTTGTCTTTCTTAACCCATTCCTTCTGAGGTGCAAAGGTGGAGAGTGGAGACTTTGGCTGCTGGTACGAACCCAAAGAGGGAGGCATCCAACAGTTGTCTGAGTGACCCAGGACCAGGCATTCTTGAGTGCACATCTCAGTAGCTTCAGCTAATCCTCGAGGGCCAAGAGGTCCATCTGTGGTGAGATGTGGGCACAGGCAGCAGACAAGGGGTAAGGAGTAGAAGAAAGAGAGAAAAGGGGTGGTTAGATTTTTTTTCTGTCTTTTAATAAAAAGTGTTACTTATTCATTTAAATATATACATATATTGCCTGCCTGACTAATCTATTCACCTGACTAGGACCATAGGGGTATAAGGTGGGTAATTAACACCAGCAACAACAATTCATAAGCTGTGCAAGCAACTTACAATTATAACAGCAGCACACACAAAAAAAATCCGTATTAAGTACTTTATACCATGCTTTGTCCGGTTCTTCAACAATAAACCATGAAGACCCTCAAAACACCAACTAAACCATGTGAGGCAAAACAGGGAGGGTGAAGTTCCTCACCCTGCTTTACAGTGCTGAAGGCTATTGCCGGTTCCTGAGAGGGCGAGGAGCTCAATGTAGCACAGGCGTGGCAGGCGGAGCCAATCTGATCTGCCTGCCAAGGTGCCCTCACTTTCCTGGGCTCCCTGTCTATCACTTCTCCCCTTTTCGGGAACTAGCAGCAACACTCTGCATTGGCAGGTCAGGCACTCGTGACACCAATGGTTCCCAGCTTACCCCTAAGCTACACATTTGTGGCTTCAGAGGGAGTGTAACCCCATCAAGATCGTCCACCCAGTCTAGGGAACTGCCCACTAACAGTCCATTTATCTGACCTACTTAATGGAAAGATTTTCTGGAAGCATGAAAACAGAGAAGTCTTCTTTTTGAAAAAAATGCATTTCTTTTTATTAGTTAGAGAGGTCACTGTACAAGTCCGTTTTTGAATAATAGCTGCATATTGGTGTGAGCGTTGTTTTAGAAAGCGTGAATTGTGTAGATTTGCATGAAAATGCGAGCAGAACACAGTTTCTCCCACGTCCCAACCCATCCTGAATTTCTTGCTTAGGACTGCTAGATAGAACCATATTCTGTCAAAAGGACCCACGTGTCAATTGGACGTGTCCAGAATGGTTGCGGCCTGTATGTTCAAAGCGCGAATCTAATGTAAGTAGATCTGACAGATAATGTGTTTCAGCTACAAACTTTTTTTTAAAATATCAAAGCTACAAGCTTCCCCAACCTCCACACATTCTGTGCCAAGCCTACGTGTGTGCAAGGGGTACACATAATAGGTACTCTACCTTTTAAAATAAATAAATAAATTCAAAGCCTCTCAAGTGGGAACATAATGTAAAAGCCTTGTTGCACTTTTTTCAAACTCAGGCAGGAAATGCCAGCCACCCAACAAATTCACATAATGGGTTCTGACACACATTACCACCAGTGCAGACCCACGCCTTTTCTCTACATGTTTCTCAGTGGAGTCAAACTGCGGATGAGTTATTGATCTGACCAGTGTGGATATGGTGAGAAACCAAGGAATGCAAATAGGCACCATCGAAACTGACTTAGCTCTGTATTTTTCAATGTTATCAATCAACTCACTCACAAGATTCTAAATATATATATTCCAGTTGCAAATTACCAACAGCAAAGGCAATTTCTTTAAGGCTATTCTTTCTCTTGTTCCTAAAGAAACAAAGTTGCTTTCATTACCGTGTGTACAGACAGTCAATTGTTTCTTGATTAAAATCAAGTGACAGGAAGGTGATAGGAAGGAAATTACTGATTTATTTGGAGCACAAAGTTAACTGATAGTCAGGAAGGCTGTAGTCAAAAGTGCTTTAAAGGGCAACCCAAAGCAGAGAAGATGAAAACACAGAAAGAGGATCTGATCACTGTCACATCAGCAAAAAAAGAGGGGGGAAATGACTTTATGGAATCCCAAGTATGGAAACCGGGAGGAGGGGCTGGCAGAAATTGGGCGGCGGGGGGGGGGGGGGAGAGAGAGTCCTTACATTCTGTAAGCTGCTACCAGTTTTATACTAGAACAAATTTGGCCTTTTTATTGAGGGAAACAGACAAGTAATTTCAAGGGAAGCCAGCAGTCGTATTTGACCTAATCATACTAAGAATAGCCCCATTAAAATCAATGCACTTAAGTTAGTTAAGACAACATTGGGTCTGCTCTCAAGTATGACTTAGGTACAACTTCAAATGAGCTTCTTCACTAAAGACTGGCAAAAAGTCCCTGGGGATTTGCATACAGATGCACTACTTGGTGATTCTGGTTTGCAGAACCTTCTGTACAGCATTACTCAATGAACATATCAACAGATGTTCAACTGAGGGTAATCCGACAGCACCAAGCATGTTTAAGGGGGGGGGAAGAGTCCTGGCTTCATGTGCGTCGTTTTGCGCTTCCGAGAGCAATTCGGTGCTGATGTTTAAAGTGCTAAGTAGCCTCAGCCTTGTATTCCTGAAGGAGCATTTCCACACCTCCCACCATCGTTCAGCCCAGACGTTGAGGTCCAGCTCTGAAGGCCTTTTAGTAGTTCCCTCACTACGAGAAGTGAGGTTACAAGGAACCAGGCAGAGGGCCTTCTCAGCAGTGGCACCCGCCCTGTGGAACACCCTCTATCAGATGTCAAGGAAATAAACAATGACGACTTTTCATCTGATGGCAGCCCTGTTTTGGGAAGCTTTTAATGTGTGATGTTTTGTTTTAAAAGCTGCCCAAAATGGCAGAAGCAACCTACTCAGATAAGTGAGGTACAGGAAATTTATTTTTTATTAAATTCACTTGTGTTAAACCCAAGGAAGACAAGTGGGTATAGCCTGAAATAAATTATTATAATTATCACTATTATTTATTAAATTTGTATACTACCCTTCATCCAAAGATCCCAGGGCAATTCACAAGACAAAAATACAAAATACATAGTAAAACAAAAACAACCCAATAACCTGCCTCCCACAAAAACAAATTAAATAAAATGTCATTAAATCATACAATAATTTAGGACTGGAAGTTTCACTTATTTTTTAAAAGAAGGTCTAAAATCCTGAGCTTTACATTTGAATCCCTGAATTTTAATGGAAGAAAAAAAATTCTTTATGTTATAACTCCTTCCTGGCCTTTCCTTGTGTCTTTGAGTCCTCCCTGCTATAATCTGACACAGGTATTTCACAGATGGAGGGGGGAAGCAGCTAGTAAAAGGGAGTATTTCCAGCATATTGTTAACATTTCGAAAGGTTAATCTATAGGTTAAACGCTGATTATTTTCTTTTCTGCTGACAACAGCAATTTGCTTTTAATTAGGTTTTCTCATTTTTTTCTGCCTGAACAATAATACAATCCTATCTTGCTGACCCAAAAGGGAATAGTTTGGCAGGGATTAAATCTTTCAATGCACAATAAAGAGGGAAGAAGAGGAGGAGGAGGAGGAGGAAGAAGAAAGCCCATCACCCTCATTCATGATAAACTGACACATTTCGTGAAATAGACACGGCTCCATTTCGAAGCTTTCAGTGGAATGAATGGAAATCCTCAGCACCAAACTTGCATGTTTCATGACCTCATCCAGAAGCTAAACAAACTAAACTCAAGTTCAAACACAACTAACATCTATTTTCGTTTGGGCTTTAAATGAGTAATAAGCCGTTTTTAAGTCAGAATGAAAATATGCTTGTGGCCCTTTAAGCCATGTCAAATTAGTCTCTTGAGAGATTTATTTCTCATTTAGTTTGCTTTCCTCAGTAACAGCTCCCGAGATCTAAGGCACTTAATTTTGGTGTAGGGTTTATGCAGGCTTTGCTGGCTGATAAGTTGGTAAAGTTTATATGGGGCTTTGGAACTGTTTGTCAGAAGAGCGATTTAAATGCATATTCTTGGTGATGAAATGCATTATCTGCACATATTCTCAGGGATGTGCCTGGAGCAACCCATTTTAAGTAGATGTATATTTTTCTTCACTCCCTGCTCCCCCGTCAATTATAATACTGGGGACATCCAGCCAATATCAGAAACATTTCTTTTGCTAACGCTGCGTCAGTGTTAACTCTGGTTAGTGCTAACTGTGCATTGCCTGGCCTCATGCAACAGAAATGTTTCACAGCAGCAACCCTCTCTAGTGGCAGATGGGGAATTTTCAGCCCCCACCCCCCATTGCTACAGTTATTGAGGGAAGGGGAAACCTTCAAAATATTGTGTGTGCATCATCTCTGTAATGGGGTGGGTGGGTGGAAATATAGTAATATTTTAGTTGAAAATTGAAGCACTTGGTATAATAAGGGGGTATAATTGCTTATATGAGTCCCATTAGAAAGTAAAGCACCATTCTCCAGCCTAAAGTTGCCACTTGTATTTCCTCCTTTTGGAGGTGACACATATCACAAAGACATATCCTCCAAGATTTCTGCAATTAAAATAGGGACATCCCATTCCATAATGATAATTTTGCTATTTATACCCCATACTTACTGGGTTGCCCCAGCCACTCGGGGCAGCTTCCAACATATCTAAAAACATAATAAAACATTAAACATTAAAAAAAAAAAACCTTCCCTATACAGGATTGCCTTCAGATAGCTCTGAAGGCAGATAACTCCATACCCTCCAACATTTCTCCAATGAAATCAGGGCCATCCTAAAGGAAAGTGGGACATTCCGGGATCAAATCAGAAACAGGGATGATTTCTCTAAATCAGGGATGTCCCTGGACAATAGGGACACTTTGAGGGTCTGACACAGGCTTGCATAAGATAATTTCTATCTATAGATGCATATTGAGAAACAATGACTGTAATTTCAAAACAAATTAGTACATCTTGCCATAGTGGGAAAGACTGGCCTGTGTACTTGTTTGATCTACTGTCCAGATGCTGAATTTCACAGAATAATAAAATCACAGAATTGAGGGCCATTGAGTCACATGACCTGTGATGCAGGAATCCTGCCCACAACCTTCCCTGGGAGGGCTTGAATTACCAACATTCTGGTTAACAGCCAGACACACTGACCCATCGCACAATTTCCAGGTCCCTCTTCAG